CATTTGCATTAGGGTTTTCTCTGCTTTTATTTTTTCATCCTGAATCTGAGTTTAGACTCCCGCAGGCCTGACGTGTATTGGGCATCTTCAGAGTATTCTGTTGAACATTTTGTGCAGTTACCACGGAGCTGTCAGAATGAATGACCCCAGAATCATGAGATGGTAATTTGGATAAAAAGAGAGAATATTCTACATCTGATTCAGATCCTTAGGAATATGGGTTACAGGAGAACTTCAACACATTAGCTCCCCTCCTATTTAACATTATTAACATTTTTCCCAGAGATTTTTGGAATAAAGGCCAGGCCTTTCATGATTCAACTCTTGTCTATGTCTACAGCCTCTTGCAAATACATATACAGAGCACACATGCATAGACACACACTTACACACTCTCAAGACTTCCTTCAGGCTTATGTGTGGCTGAATGCTCTGCCTAGAACAGTCTTGCCAACTCCCATACTTCCATCAGCCCCTCACCCACCTTGCCCCATGCCTGTCTCCTGTCCTCTAAACCCTTTCCTGGCATCCTGATAGAGGCCCCTGTCCCCTCCACAATTTGAACTCCCTGGTGCTGCTAGATTGAGGAGTTCCTACTCTCTGTTCCAATAATCCCTTTACCAGTCTGTCTCTAGACTTACTTGCTCACATCAACATCTAAAGAGTATATAAGACTAAAAGTATGCCTCCACTGAGTCTTTACATAAAAATTATTTTTCTTGGCTTCTTGTGAAGTAAAACCTGTAGTGTGATTGCCAAGGAGGAAGAATAATATAAGGGACAGGTGTGGGATATGGGAGAGTGTTCCTGGTATCCCAGCTGCCGTCAGATGTGTCTTTTAAATTTTTCAGTGCCAGAAATGTCACTGTTATTTCTACCTGAGCCCTGTAGAATGTAGATATCCTTCAATATCTCCTCCATGCTGTGTTCTGGCTGGGTGGAGGCTCTGTCTTTGAAGTCACTTGTGTCTTGTTGCTCAACCAGACACCTAATACAAAATGTGCAGCTAGTAGATGCTCAGAATACTTTTTACTTAAATAGAGGACTTGATCCACCTTGTAGAAGCACCCACAAGTAGAAGGAAGCCGAGGTTCACCTTGGAGACTAGTTCACCAGATAAGGGCTTCTGAATAGTCCACATGGAGCTTCCATGAAAGAAGGAGTAATTAGGCCGGTGTCAGGACTATGGTGGAATCAGAGCACGGAAGCTGACCCCAGGGAAATTTCCAAAGAAGGGGGGCTAACAAAGAGACTCAGATGAGTGCAAGCCCTAGTAACCAACTGGGCTGGTCCAATGTAGTCCACATGCACCCAGGCTTAGCATGTGGAGGTGGAGCCTGCTTGAAACACTTGAATGACCCCCACCAGCATGCTGGATAGTCTAAGCTCCTTGGCAAAGCACGCACAATCAGACCTCACCAACTTTCCAAGCTTAGTTTTCAGCAAGTCCTCAGCTACCAGTCTTTGGTCTCAGCCACACCCAATGACTCCGAACCTCCAGAACGCCTCCTTCTAGATTACCTGAGACTTTCTTGCTACCTACTATGCCCACCCACCACCTCCCCTGCCTGGAAAATGACTGCTTTTTCTTTATGGCCCAGATGAAATATTCTTTCCTTTGTATAACCTCCTCCACTGGCTTCCTCCTCTGGGTTGCCATGGCACCCACCTATACGGAAACCATCGTGATCTTCACAGGAGTTCATCAATCTACAAGAACCGAATGATCATCCGCAAATGTGTTCAAAGTTTTGTACTCAGTCAGCGCCTTCTGTGTACTAGTAACTACTCTGGATGGATGCACCAATTTTGCTTCTCAGGAGCAAAATGGAATGAAAGATGTACCGCCAACGCAGAGGGTTTTAGCATGCAAACACAGTTCATTGTGCGGTGACAAGGGTCTGAGAGGAGCACACCAGGTCGCAGAGGGACAGATTGGGGAAAGAGCGTATGCTGACTAAAGTCATCAAGCCCGTCTTGACCCTCCTTTCTTTGAAACCCTCTCTGGACATCTCTTCAGGTTTCTTTAGGTGGAACAACTGGTGGTTTGAATCAGAGGGACTTTATTAGAAGAAAGGTCTAGTGATTTTCTCTGGGAAGAGCACAGCATGGAAAGTCCTGTGGAGCGGGGTTCTACGTTGGCACACATGGGTCACAGTGAGTTGGAATGAACTCTATGGAAACTACTTCCCTTACCCCCAACAGAATGTTACCGTTGGAAACCTACAACACGCATCTTCTGTCCTGGCCCTTGCGTGTGTTCTCGTTGAATGATTAATTATTCTCCCAATCATTTACCAGCTCTAAGAAAGCTCAGTTTCACTCATCCTTCTATCCCCAGCTCCCAGAGTAAGAGTGACAATACAATTATAGCCTAGATGACATTCAGCAAGTTATTTCATTCCAGTTCCTGTGCATTGCCTTCAAGTGGGTACTGACCCAGAACAACCCTAGGGATCCTAGGGAACAGGGTCGGACCGCCCCTGGGAGCTCCTGAGTCTGTAACTCTCTATGGGAGGAGGAAGCTCCACATTTCTCCCGAGAAGCGGCTGGTGGGTTCAAACTGCTGACCTGGCAGTTAACAGCCCAATGTGTAACCACTACTCCGCCAGGGCTCCTGCTTCCCTCTAGCTCGGAGAGACGGGAAATAAAGCAGGAAGACAAAGAACCATCCATCCCTTGGAATCGTGGCGCTGGTGACGAATATGGAAAGCACTGTGGGCTGTGAAAAGAACGAACAACCTCGTCTTGAACGAAGTACAGTCAGAACGCTCCTTAGAGGCAAGGAGAGCCCGACTTCGCGTCTCATACTTCGGACATGTTGGCAGGAGGGACCAGCGCCCGGAGGAGGACATCACGGTCGGTGCCGTGGAAGAGCAACGGCAAAAAGGAAGGCCCAAGACAAGATGGGTGGGCATCGTGGCTGCCACCGTGGGCGCCAACATAGACCCCGTGGTGGGAAGCGCACAGCGCTTCATTCTGTGGTCCACAGAGCTGCTCTGACTCGACTTCACGGCGCCAACAACGTCCGTCACTGCAATCCAGGACGCTGTGATGCGGTGCTCCAGTGCTGCAGTGGGTCAAGCCACGAGCTGCGCATGCGGAGGAAAGACCGGGCAGTCTGTTTCTGGAACGAGCATAGTCCTGGAAACCAAGGGCAGTTCCTCTCTGTCCTTGAACGCACCTCACGGCCCTCGAGTCAACGCTGACCGTGGCCGCGCTACGGAGGGCAGGGTGGAAATGCTGCAGTAAGTAAGGAGACCACGCACTATTTTTTAAATATCAATTTAATGAAATGGAAAAAGTCCTTCAAAGACAAAAAGTACCCCCAAACTGCGAGATGAAATGGAAAACCCCCAAAGCCCTATATCCATAAAGCATGAGCGATTAGATTTATTGTTTAACATACTTCCACTAGTACCTCTAGGCTCTTGTGACTTCTCTGGTTAATTCTGTTAAGTGTTTGAAGAATAAATATAAGCAATTGTACAGATATTATTTGGGGAAACATTTCCTTTACCTCCTGGGGGGGACAATGGATTCTAGAGGCGACAGAACTGAAATAAGGACTATTGGGGTGCCTGTTAAAATAGTGACTATTGAATTAATGGTGAATTAGATTAGAGCTGCTTAGCAGTTAAATTGATGAGGATGGGTACATTGAGGATATATTTTGAGATTGCAACTCTTTTCTGGAATAGAAAGCCTCATCTTTCCCTCTAGGAGTGGCTGGTGGTTTCAAACTGCTAACCTTGTTGTTAGCAGTTTATTAACGTATCACCACTATGATACCTAGTTAAGCCAGTGATTTATTTTTGGAAGCTTCAATTTCCCTATTTGTCAAGTAGTGGGTGGGGATGCTTGTCCTGAAAGGTCGTTCTGAGGATGGAGACATATTGTTCTTACAGGTTCTTGCCCCATGTTTTGACTCAGTTTGTGTGGGGTGCTGAGTAACTGCACAAAAGAGGAAGAGGACCAGCAGCCTAGACCTGCCCTGAGCTCTGATGCCACCTGCTTCTCTCCCATGACTCAATCACAGACGAGCTATGATGTGGAGGCGGAGTGACTTTGGTCTCTGAAGATGAGTGTTAGTTCCAACCACAAATTCTCAGCCTAGTTCCAGGCCTGCATTTCCAGGTTTAAGAAACCACCTGGGTTTCCACTGGAGCCTCAAACTCACCATGCTCAGGACAAACTCCTGGCCTTCACCCTCCCTGTGCCTGCTTGATCCTCACACACTGACATCAGCAGACACATCACGTCACGGATCAATCAGTTAAATGGCTGACTCATTGTAAATTAACCAAGAGAAAAGTCACAGGATTTGGACTGGACCTAGAATAATAGGCCACCCAAGGTATTGTCTAGGGGTAGAGGTGGAGAGCCACTTTCTCCTGGGGTTCTCTTGGCTGTTTCTAGAGGTTCTGGAGCAGACAGGAGAAGAGAAACGGTGGCTAGTCTTCCAAGAACTTGCCAAGCAACCCACACCACTTGCATGAAGCACACTGAGGCCCTGCACTCGTTTCCGCTGTTATTATATTGCAAATTTAGCACAAATATAGTTACTTAAAACATACAATTTTTAAAATGATTTTACAGTTCTAGAGGTCGAAAGTACAAAATGGGTTTCGCTGGGCTGAAATCAAAGTGTCGTTCGCACTGCAGTGGTCCTTCTGACGGGTCCAGAAACCACCAGCATTCATTTGTTCGTGGCTCTTTCTTCCACCTTCAAAGCCAACTTCTTCCGATCTTTCCCTGACTTTCCTGCCTCCCTCTTACAAAGACATCTGTGATTACATGGCCCACCCCATTGGTCCAAGATAATCTCCCAACACAAAATATTTAATCAAGTTCATAATGCCCTGTTTACCATGCACGGTCACGTGTGTATAGGTTTGAGGGATGGACATATGTAGGGGCCATTTTTCTGCCTCCCCCAGCCTCTGAGCAAGGTAGGCTTTATCTGCAGCCACTAAGCTGGAACACAGCCCCCGACAACCCTACCGACTTTGTTCGAAGTAAAACTCAATGCGGGCCGTGGGGTCACGCTCCTTGGCTAGCCGGACCGGCTGTCTGGACTCGGCTGGGCCACAGAGAAACCAGCCAGGCCAAGCAGCAGCTTCGAGCCTGAAGGCAGAACCCAGGCTGCTCTGGAAGAAGGTGAAACGCGTGGCCTGCTCCCCGCCCTTGTACAGATCCTCGATGCTCACATCCTGTGGAGGCAAGACACTCAGCTGAAGGATGAGACCACCAGCCAAGCTGTCAGTCCTAGCTGCATCCAGGGCTGGGTCTGTGAAGGGTTTGGCAGAGTAGGTCTGATGGAGAAAACTGCCCTCTGCAGCCTCTCAAGGGCAAGGGTGTCGGTACTAGGGGTGGAGATAAGTGGTGGAAACCTGAAACAGGAGGATGTCTGTGCCTGCAAAGGGAAAACTCAGATGGGTCCAAAGATGCCAGGCCATCCCAGGGGGCCAAGCTAAGCAAGCCTTCAGGGTCCCGAAGAGTGGGGAGGGGTTTCTCACCTCCAGCTGCAGAGAAGGTCCCTCTTCTGTCTCCACACATGCCAGACAGCGCCTCCCTCCATGGATGCCCAGGAGGATGGGGACCTTGGTGCGGTCCAGGGCTCTGTTGGGGAGGACGCAGATCTTCTCTGGTGGGAAGAGAGGAAGGCTCTGGGAGATCAGAGGACCTCAGAGGTCAGGATTGAGGTGATGGAAGGCTTAGGCAGGAAGGAGCTGGACCCAGCATAGCTGCCCTGACCTTGTCATGTGGGCTACAGGCTGACCTGGGACTCCTGATGGGGTTGAGACTCCCTCACTAGGAGAGGCCTTCAACTACCTTTCACTCCCCATCACTTGAAGGGGGCCAGGAGGTGAGAAGGGAGGCCTTTGAAAGTAAGTGGCCTATGGAAGAAGAGATGTGTCCCAGTGGCGGGAGGCCCAGATTCTCACCTGGACAGCAGTTGTCTGCACCAGGGTCTCCCACAAGGAGCTGGCTGTCCTTCATGTACAGCGCCTTCTGATCTGCATCCTTAATTCTGGAAGAGAGCTGCAATGGTGATGACCTGCACCCTCCAGGCACACTTTGACCCTGAGCCCTCTCAGCTCCATGCTCTCAATTACCTATCACTGATGTTCTTCTCTCCTTTCCAGGTGAGAAATGGGGGCACCATCCCACCCAAGATCAGGAGAGTTTTAAAGCAGTGGAAAGTCTTCTGAGCTTGTGACTGTCCGTGGCTGATCTGTCTGCCCTCCGTCTCAGTCGGAGGGCATCAGGGCCCACCGTGGAGTGACAGACGGGAGGTGTCCTGCTGATTCAAGTGCTTTTCCAGCCTCGTTCTGAATACTTCCCCGTGATGGTCAAGTGTCTCTGAGAGCTTCATCTCAGATTTCCTAGACCTGTCTGAGTTTGTCATGAACATTTCTTTTCTTCAATAGGAGCCCCTGGTGGTGTCAACAGTGAAGCACTCAGCTACTAGCCAGAAGCCTGGCGGCTCCAGTCCACCTAGAAGCACCTCTGAAGACAGGCCTGGCAGCATGCTTTCAAAAGGAGCACAGCCTTGCAAACTCGACAGAGCAAGATCGCTCCGTCCACGGGGGCTTGCTAGGTGAGGGGGCCAATTTGATGACAACTGCTTTGGTGTTTTATGTTTCTTCAAGAAACTGTGCAGGGAAATATGATTTGCTTTTGCAGTATTTTAAAGACTGTTCATCAGAGGACATCAACAAATCGGAAAAAAAATCGCTCACCTTCATGTGTTACATGTGTTACCTGAAGTCTGCCAACACAGCTACTCCAGCTTTGGGCCTACATAAGGTGTGCTCTGGGGAAGGGCCTGAGGGACTGGTGCCAAATACAGGAGGTTAGCAGAGAGCCGGAGCACAGCTTGATTATAGCCCTTGTGGTTGACTGTGGATGTAATGATCAGTCTCAGAGGGCAGATACGTTCTGGGAAGGCGGGGGAGAAACCAGGGTGAGCGTGTGGGCATAAAAGCCACACAGATTATTAGCTCAGTGGTCTGGCTGGTTTCAAAATGCCTGTCCATCATCCTCAGGACCCGGGAGCCCTGGCTACCTGCAAGGGCACAACCACTGCACACATGCCACCGCCTCCAGGAACTGTCTCTCTTCCAGTAACAGCTCATTACAATCCCTTTAGCTAATCGCAGTACATGTTCAAAGCAACTGCACGTTACGATTAAAATACAGAACCTACAAGTTCCTGGGCTCGCAGCGGGCGCTCGCTCTCTGGTAAACCTCCAGGACTCTTCCACCAGAAACAAGGGATTGGAAAATTCTGGCAACATTGTTTGGAGACTCAAGCTTTGAGCGCCCAAACATTGACTTCTATTTTGCCGTTGGTACTGTCCTGCCTTCCCCGCCAGCCTGGAGACTCCAGCTGTCTTTCTATGTCTATAACAAGACAGGGTCCAAGGAAATGCATTCTAAGAATCAGCCCTATTCTGTTTTATCATGTTCCGTCCTGTGACTCAAAAGGTCTGAAGTATTTTATAGCAAAATCATGGACAATGAAAAATAAGACTATGAGGTAAACCCTAAGAATAAACGTCGTACATAAGGTCAAGTGCAAGTAAGAGTTGGAAGCTCGGGCTAGAAGGAAGGCCACAGAGGCCAACACACACAAAATGCTCTCATCGAGATTCCGCTCTCAGGGGGCCTCTAGAAAGAGGCAGATGGAGTAGCATAAGGAATGGGGCATCCGATCCACAGCTCTGCCTTTGGATATCAGGGCATTGGTTTAGCTCTCTGAGACTCAGCTTCTAGATTTGTCAAACGAGTTATTAAAGTTCCCCCGATAGACGTCATGGGATGGAGGTAAGGCAGGCACTCGGGAAGGAGAGCTAGTCCCTTTGTAATGATTGCATTTAATTGTGGGGCCCTGGAGATTTCTCAGCTAAGAAGAAGCCTCATCCCTCTGACTCAGCGTTCCGTGTCCCCCATGTGACCCCTAGACTCCTGGATTGGGAAAGAGGGAAATGCCAGGAAGACTTACACGTAGTATCTTGCCATGGGAAGAGAACACATTTCTATGATCAGGGGGTGAGGTCCTTGCTGAAAGGGAAGGAGAGAAGCCTATTAGAGAATGCGAGATGTGGAGTTCTCTGATCTGTGGAGTTCTGAGATCACCCACACACAGGTCTAAGAGGCCACTAGTCTACAACGTGCCTATCAGAATCTACCAAAGTCTTCTCTTCTTCAACAGCTCCAGGCAGATCTGCCTCTCCCGTTTGGGGAGAACAAGTTAAGCTGGCCTGGTGTGCCCTGGTGCCAGCTCTGGGAAGCTGGAGAACCCGTCCCTCCAAGGAGCTCACCCTGTAGCACTTTCCAGGGTGGAGAATAGAGTAGGGTGTGCTCTAGCCTCATGGCTTGAGAATGAACCCCATCCCCAAATCTAGTCCCCATTTCTCAACCTGGCCTAGAGTTATTTCACTACTGCCTACCTCCCTCACAGGTGATTCAGTCTTCAGTCCTACCTGAGGGATGACGGTCCTCACTAGGAGGAAGCTCCAGCCTCCAGCTGGAGTGGCCAGGTCTCTCGGGAGAGTTAGACTGCATCATTGTTTGGGGTTGGACTTGCCTTTGCAAGACTGTTAAAAAGAGAATATCCAGACTCTCTCATTCTGTTTCAGATGGAAGATGGAACGGGCTTGAGATATGTGGATTGGTGATCTTGAGAATGAGCAATCTAAACTGAAGATGGTGTTCCCATGTAAACCCTAGACCACAGAGTTTTACGTGACTTTGACTCTTGCCAATGGATTATGCTATAATAGAGTTCTCCCCTAGCTCTATCATGCTTCAGAAACGTCTATCTAGAATCATATTTCTGTCAGGTACAGTTGAGTCAATACTGACCAGTGTTGGCTCTATACACAATAGAATGAAGCGCTGCCCAGTGCACCATCCTCACAAGTGTTGTGTTTGAGCTTATTGTTACAGCCACTGTGTTCATTGGGTGATCTCGCTTTCTCATTGACCCTCCACTTTACCAAGCCTGATGTCCTTTTCCAGGGACCAGTTTCTCCGGATAACATGTCCAAGCTACACTAGATGATTCTAAGGAGCACTTCTCAGGCTCTACTTCTTCCCAGGCATATTTGTTTGTCCTTTTGGCATTCCACCCTATTTTCAATATTCTTCAGCAACACCACAATTCAAATGCACCCATCCTTCTGTGGCCTTCCTAATCCGTCCAATTTCCACATGCAATATGAAGTGATTGGAAATGTCCACTCTAATGTGGATAAAATCCAGAGCCACTCAAGGATGGAAAGAGCTGGATAATAGACCCAAAAAGTAAAATGTAAGGACGATTGACCAAGCAGATATGATTCTCACTGAAAAAGAAAGAATATCGATGAAAATGTATATATAAGGCAGGAAAAATACGAGGATATGGAAAAGAAGGAAGGTGGAAAGAAAGGAGGAGGGCTCAGAGAGCAAATGAGGGACATTTGGGGAAACAAATGAGGAAGAATAGTTTGATGCTGAAGCCAGGACTGCCAGCACCTTAGAGTCACTGGTCTATTAGAAGAAATAGGATTGTAGCTGAGGTGTCTTTCAGCATTGTCTCTGCCACTCTGCCACTTTGGACAAGTGGAGGGAGCTATCTGAAGTTGGACTGGCAGGATAGTGGCTTCCTCTTTTATCCATTTCTGCTCAAAATGTGGACAGAAATTCAGTGCCAGGACAGTTGTTGGTCCTCTGGGGCCCTAGCAGTTTCTGTCCTGAGAAAGCCCAAAATGCCAAAGCCTACTTAAAAACTTCTGTTACCAGGTTTTCTCCTGCCCAGATTCTGGTTAAATAGTCATGGAATGAGTCACTCAATGCAATCAAGTCAGTGCTGACAAATAGCAGCCCGATAGGTTAGAGTGAGGAACCCTAGTGGTGTAGTGGTTATGTGTTGGGCTGTGATCCACATGGTCAGCAGTTATAAACCACAAGCAGCTCCAAGGGACAACACAGTCTGGGCTTTCTACTCCTGTAAACAGTTACAGTCTCAGAAACCAAAGGGGTCACTATGAGTCAGCATTGCCTTTATGGCATTGTTTGATTTTTGTTTGGTTGGGATAGGTTATGGTAAAACTGTCCCTGTGGGTTTTCAAGACTGTAACTCTTTACAGGAGTAGAAAGCCTCATCTTTCACCTGAGAAATGGCAGGTGGTTTTGAACTGCCGACCTTACAGATTATAGCTCAATGCATAACCACTATGCCCAGGTCTCCCCTAGATGGAATGAGTAGGCGTGAACAACCAGCCTATCATCCATCAGAGAACCTGGGCCTCTGAACCTCCCAGTGGGCCAGACTCTCATTACTTCCCTATCATTCTCAAGTAGCTTTTCACAGGCCGCTGACCTCATTCTTTCCTCTCCACATGCACTAGTCATCTCCTCTGGCTGTCTCAGAATTCATCAGCTAACTTGTCCTGCACCAAGTGCCACCATCAAAGAGCTCTGACCTCCATGTTCTTTTATGCATCATATTCATCTTAAACTCTCTTTATTCCCCATGTCAAAATATTCCTCTTCTCGATGAGGTTCAAAACCTGAGAATCACTGTCAGTTTCTACCACTTGTCCTGACTCTATGCTTGATTTATCAAAAAGTTTTGGTAGAGAAGTCCTCTAAAGTATAGCTCTGACATTTTAAATTACATAACTGTGTAATTATAATGATACCTTTATATTCCTGATTTATCTACCTTAAATGTACTGCAACTTATGCAAGTTACCTGTCTTCATATTTTCCACATCACCATCCAACTTTAGACTGCCCTGGTTGACCATTTTACAACCATCTGGTTCAGCACTGATGTGTGACAGCGTCTCACATCTCTGCTCGCTGACACCAGACCACCCTCCAGGAAGCACATCTTTTTAAATCTTCTCACTGGACATAATTAGAATTGCCTCCTGTGTTATCCCTGCCTCACAAGTTATTTCTCTTCATCACGATCCAATCAAATCTTTTGGTATGAAGGTCATTGGACATGGTATCAAAATCGAATTCTCCAATTAATTATCAGCTCAGAATACATTCTCAAAGACACAGGATTATATCACCTAACATCCTATGTCTATAAAATCATGGGATTAGATCATATGGATGAGATTCAAGACAGATAACATGACTCAGTGTTAATAAAGCTTTCTCTTAATCTTGTAACCCTACTCTGAACTCCTATTAAATTTCACTGTGCTGTTTATCAGTCTACATAAATACATTTTCTTTCTTTGTAGACATTAACAAGCTCGTGAAGTCCTGAATCCTGGCTGATAGCTCTCTTCCAACTCTCTCCACCACCACAACTGACACACCATTGTTCATAAGCAGGACATACAAACACACTCAGCCTTGGGTGGACAAATCTGGGTACCAGCTCTTCTGCTGCTAATTTGTCTCAGAAAGATCTTTCTCCACCCTGAACCTCCAATTTATCATCTTGGAAGTGAGAAATTGGGAAAGATCAGTATGTTTCCGTTATTGTTAGGTTGTATACTGAAATTTTACAGAGAAACCTACCTAATACATAAAATGGATAAAGGGGACCTGTTTTTTGCTGAAGCATGAGTGATGGAGACCAGAAATCTAGCCTCTAGCATTTTTCTTGTCCATTGAAGAATTTCTAGGGAAAAGGTTTCTCCAAACAGGGTTTGAATACCATTGACACTGATAATATTGACCTAGATCATTTCTATTGAGATCGCTTTCTAAAATCTATGGCCTTAAGCATTTAGAAACCTTTATTTGACTTAAACCATGACTTTTCATCAAATTCCTTCTCTGTGCCTGAAGACTTATTTACCATCCTATAGTTTTTGGTAGAATAAATACCTGGATTTACAGCAAGTTTACCAGAAGATCAGAAAGAGTAAGTGTGTATCATATCAGAAATGTGAAAGACATGGAGAAGCATAGAAAGAACGAAAGAATATTGCTTGTCCACACTAACCTGCAGATCCTGGGTGCCTGAAACTGGGATGCCTGAAGTCTCTGACTGATTTCTCCAGAGCATCTGCACTGAGTTTATACTGCCTGGTCAGGCTGGGTCAGGCCTGCAGCAATTTCTATAATTGGCTCCAAGACAGGAAAGAAGAGTCTAGGGATTTCACAATCACTTTGGCACATTGTATAGATAATAAGGAGGTACAAATATTAATGAATGTTTGTTGAAAGGGGAAAGAGCTACCCATAAAGCCCGGGACAAGGTCAGGTTCTGTGCCCCTGTTCTGTCGCTACTGTCATTGACAGTTAATAGTGGTTTCAGCAGCCAGGTAAACAGTGCTGGGTTCAGACATCTCCCAATCTTCCCTTGGGTGCTCCAGGGCACTCCATCCTAGGCTGGGAGAATTAGAGGAGGAAAGAGTGTGTGTGAAGGGCCCAAGGACAGAACCATCTCTGATCCTTGAAGCCTGGCTGTGGTCAGTGAGGTAGAGTGAGAGCAGAGGCTGATAACATGGTGAGTGTGGCTCTGTTTGGAGAGATTAGAACAAGGACTCTGCTTTTCAAAAAGTTCTATCAAGTCCTGGTAGATGACCTGGTAGTCAGTACCAATATAATAAGGCAGAACAACCAAGGATGCCCAGCTTCAGAGGACATTGACCTTACGTGTCCAGGCCTTATGTGTGCTGGACTACTAAGCAATAACACTCACAGAGAGTGGTACAAGAGGGCCACAAGTAAAGATCACTGAGATCTCTAACTGACATAACTCAACTCCTTCCCTCCCTCCATCCATTCATCCACCTCTTCGGAAGGACAGAGTCTTATTCAAGGACTTTGGTCCTCATTGTGCTTCCCCCTCTCAAGTAAGTAGTTGTTGTTAGGTGCCATCGTGTCAATTTCCACTCAGAGGAACCACATGCCCAACAGAACAAAACCCTGTCCAGTCCTGCATCATCCTCACAATGGTTCTTATGCTTGAGCCCGTTCTTGCAGCCAGTGTGTCCGTCCACCTCACTGGGGGCCTTCCTCTGTTTCACTGCCCCTCTACTTTATTGAGCATGATGTCCTTCTCCCAGGAC